TATTGAACTTTAACCGTGATATGAGGAGGGTGAGGGGTTCTTACTCGTTTCGGAGTCCGAACACGGCTTCACAGTGCGCTTGCAGGCTGTCCCTAATTTTCCCTGAATTTTCCTCGGAGAACTGAAACGCACTACTGGTACCTGCACGTGTTCCAAAAAAATCCCAAAATTAGGCCCAGGGCCCCTTTCGGCCCTAATCGCAACTCCGGCACGGCGGCTCCGCCGTGCTCCGGCGCCGGCGCCGCCACTGGCAGCGGCGATTCGCCTCGGGTTGGCTGTTTTCGGCCGTTTTCCGGCCGAATTCGGCCACACTCGCATCGGGTCCCTGTGAGAAAACAACCCTAGGGCCCTCGGGGGGCCAAAAAATCACGAAAAAACGGAGCTTACCGGCGGCGGCGCTCTCGGGTGCGGCGGCTCTCCGGCGAGGTTCGTGTTTTGGTGATTCGGCTCCGGTCAACCTGTAGAGAAAAGAGTGGTGATCACGGTGATACAAAAATTGCATCAAACGGAGGCCGGGAATGGCCTCATCGGAGGCAAAAACCGAGAAGGGCGCGGCGGCGCTGCTGGGCTTCGGCCGTGCATTCCAGCCGTTTGGTCGGAATTTTGGCTCCGATTTGGCCACAGGAGGAATCAGCGTGGAAAAACGAGTCGGGAGTACGAAATTTACCTCGATCGGCGGTCGGAAGTTCCTACGGTGCGGCGGCGGGTGGCGGCGGCCGGCTTCTGGTTCGTCTTCTCCGGCGAGTGGCAGGCGGTTAGGGTTTGTGGTCTGGTGTGGGGGTTCTATTTATAACCCCTTGCCTTTTGATCTCAGCCGTCCATTTTGTTTTAATCTGGGCCGTCCGTTTTTGATTAAATCTGGGTCGTCCGATCGCGCCCACGCGGATCGCCAACGTGGCCCTTTTTGGCACGACGTGGTTTTGCCACGTGGCAAGTCCCGGTTGGCCGGGACTGCTGACCGGGCCTGCTGACGTGGCTTTTTTTTTTTTCCTCCTCGGTCCAGGCGCTACAGAATTGCTTAAAGACCCTTAATATTTGTGTAGATGCCAAGGCATGTGTGTGAATAACTTTTCGGGCGTCATGGTGTGTGTCTTTAAGAGAGAGCACTTGTAGAGACTCCACCGAGCAAATAAAATCCCCTAAACTGGGAAATTTTGTTTGCTGAGAGGGTAAAAATTATGTTAAAAGAAAGCGCAGCGCTAGAAGGAGGGCTTGAACCTCCGACCTTGTGGTTAACAGCCACACGCTCTAACCAACTGAGCTATTCCAGCTTTGGTAGAAAAAATTAAAACGGAAAGATTGGACTAGATTTTTAATCTCAGATACAAAACCAAAATAGGAGCAGTTTTTGATTTAAGATATATTAGGTAAAAACATTATGAATCTAATCTATGTCATTAACGCATGATTAGTTATGATTTGCTCTTTGAAGTATCTTAATTGAAAACAAAGAGAATCGTTTAATATTCTGCATGAACAGATGCCTTACTTTTATAAATGAGTTTTTCATTTAATCAAAATTTGATGAGGTTAGAACAATAACCAAAACTGGCATTTGATTATCCATAAACATTGCATTTAATAAATTTAGATATGCTCTCTCATATCTTCCCCTCTTTCAAAATATAAATTAATTGTTTAAAAATATATTACATTTAATCAACATTCAATTAGCCAACCAAACTTTACAACACCTGCTATGAATTCAGGCAGTAACAGCGCTTTGAAGCAACGTCTCCAAGTCTTTCAATCTGTTAAAAAGGGAGAAAAATCGGAATAACCAACTGCCAACTGAGCATATCAGCTGAATCACAGTAGCCGCTTTTATGGCACCTGGTGGACTCGGGTTTATGTCCCATCTCTCTATTTAGCCAGGGGTAGTTTGGTTTGGTTCAATTTTCATTCAATTTCTACTTTTATGATACTGTATCATCATTTAGTTATTAGATATTAAGGTAGAGATTGAAAATTTATTCTAAAAATAATAACATAATTCTATGTTCAAACTAGTCCAGCAATTAAGGGAACAAATAAAAGAAATGTAATGCAAATAGACACAGTACCTCACGTCAGTTAGATCCGGATAGATTGCTATAGCATCTTTGAAGTCCTGAATATGATTTATTTAATTAGCAGCTTTAACTCATGAAGAGAACATCCAACTATTCCGCGGACAGAATTGTTAATCATAAAACAGAAGGATAAATCAAAGACCTTACCTGGTCAGCAGTTGAAGATGTGTACGTAATCACGCACGACATTCCAGCCTGAGTTGCTGCCTACGGTAACAAACTCGGTTATTGAACAACGATATAAAAAATGAAACGAAAATACAGAGCAAAATAGATAGAGAGAGAGAGAGAGACTGTGTGATAAACAAGTAAGCAATGGCAACATCCTCCATTGCATCATAAAAGAATGAAGGATCTTCTCTCGTAACTGATATGGAATAGAATATCTACCTGTAACCCAATAACACTGTCCTCCACCACTAAACAATCCTTCCCCGACACACCTAGTTTCTGCAAGAAGCTTATATGGATAAGCTCGAAGAGAAGATCAATGGGGAATTCCATAAAAGTACAGTCCATATTGTAATTAAATCAACTACCTCAGCAGCTGTTAGATATATCAAAGGATCAGGCTTCTTTTCCTTCACATCATCGCCTATGATTAGAGAAAAAATTTGAAACATAAATAAGTTTATGTAGAAATTATGAGCTAGACAATATAATAACAACAACAACAACAAAATGGGTGCATCAACAACAACAGCTGCACCCTTGAAGTTACTTAAATAAGCTAGAACGTAATAGAAAAATGACCGGTAAGTGCAATGTGTTTAGTCAACTTGCAGCTGAATTTAGTTTAAATGCACCACATATTATCATATAAAAAAGGAGGCAAATTTGAACGGGTATGCAAGAAACACATTGAAAACATGCTTGCTGCAAAGGAAGGAGGAAGTACAGGTCAACAAGGTAGAAACACAAACATCCAAGTGCTCGAGATGTTAGATTACAGGACTAAAATTATAAGGAAATAACCGAACATCAAGTTTTGAGTTGTTGATGTACCTGCAAGGAAGCAATCAAGACTTTGAAAGCGGTCCTAGCAAAAGGAAAATGAAAGATATAGATAAATGAATGTTGTGAGAACAGAGAAAGGGATGATTTTAACAGTTAGATGTCTATTGGAAGGCTTACCATTCCTATAAGATTTTCAAGGCATAATATAACTGAACTCTTGGTTGCTGCCGAGCAAACAGCTAGTTTTTTCCCCTGTAACAGCAAGCAGTACCAAGAATGATAACCAGAAGCAGATTTGAGGGATTTTTAAAATGCAATCGGAGGTAAGCAATAACAAGTGAATTCCTTACAGCAGCCTTCGCCTCATCCATCAACCTCAAAACTCCTGGCCTTGGTTCCACCTGGTGAAGACAATACAGGTCTACGATATTGTTAATGGTAACCCATTGGGACAATTCCATAAACAACTTTAAGATCGGCAAGAAAATCAGTATATATCAGAAAAGGATGTTTCCTTACAGTTCCAGATTTTATTATTTCTTTGTACCTTTCCGTTTTCCAATCCTACAGAACCACAGAAACACAGATAGTACGGTATAAATTACATATTATAAAGAGCTTCATATACAATGCTTAAATTTCAAAATTAAACAATTGTAGTTTGGCTCTCAACAAGACCATGTTGATATTCATTAGTTTCGAATTGAGAATTTAAATGTGATATGCACCGTAATTTCTCTCTTCCAAGTTGAGGAAAATCATGGAATACATATATGAAATTCCTCGAACCTCAAAGAAGAAACAGGAGAAGAAGACCAATCGAAGTCAAATTTTAAGTAAACTGAGATGAAGAAGAACAGGATTAGTACCTGAAGAGTGTCAATTAACTTGGCCCTGTCTGCATCATTTTCAGGAGGTTCACTGAAAATTGTTGAAGACGGCCAACCGTGCTCTTTAAAGTACCTTTGAACAATCAAATATCCCCAACAAAATCAACGAAAGAATATTCTGGAACAAGAAAAAAGACCGTAAAAAGTGAGAGTAAACCGAAGAGACCATCGCATCTTGGGTTTGCCGCCGCCGATTCGATTCTGGAGCACATCGTAGAAATCGGAGTCCCAGTAGAGAGGGCCCGAGGAAGGAGAGCAAAGAACATTGAAATGGGAAAAGGCGTCGTTGTAAGCTTGGCGGTGCAAGTGCTTTGACTCCAATATCACGCCGTCGCAGTCGAATATAAGGGCTTCCAGAGAACAGGAAGCAGACACCGACAATGGCGGCTTCGATGCAGGATGACCTCTCCTGGGCCTGAAATGGAGCGGTTCAATGCGAGAGAAAGGGTTGAAGGAAACCAGAGAAGAAGACGAAAAAGAATGAGCAGGAGAGAGAGCGGTGAGGTAAGAGCGAGAGAGGATCATCATGCAATTACAAGACGCCATTGATGAGTGTTTGGTGTCAGTTTACTTGAGTGTTTGTTTTGTTGGAATTTAGACGTAACATGTGGCGGACATTGATTGGTTGGTGTGGTCATTGAGCAGTGGAGTCGTTTTAACGAGTTTAACGACTAGCCGAAATTTAGAGAGAGGAAGAAAATTTGATTTAATCTGGGAGATTATTATTTATTTAGTAGTTATTTTTATTGAATGTGAGGATAAATTTAAAATACATATATATAGTTTAAATATATTTTCTGTTATTTTTAAATCGTATTTCTAAATTAAACTATACATACTTATATTAATTTATAAAATAAAAATTATAAAATATTGCCAAAATGTACGTAGACCAGTGACATTTTCCTCAATTTCTTTGCTTATAATAATAATTAATACTTGTGCATAAAATAATAATATGTTTTTGTTCTTGAAGGTCAACATATATCTATCAAATAAACTTAGAAATTTGAATATAAGCTTAAAATGATTATAAATAATTATTCAAGTACTTAATTCATTAATAATTCCATTCTTCATTTTTTTCTCCCCAAACAAACTATGAATATTGCTCCTCCTCCTCCTCCTCCTCCTCCATGAAATTAACCTAATAACATCTTGCTTCATTCTGTTAGACAACTTGGAAGTCTCGCAATTTACAAAAACCTACCTACAAGGTTGTGCCTCCACCATCGGACATAAGAGATGCTGCAGCTGCTGCAGCAGTCGGGACAACGCCTGTTGAGATGCCTGGTTTCGACAAATGCAAGAGCCTGGAAAAAGATGAAAACCACCCCTTCATTTCAAAAGAGCTATCATAATAGTCTTCATGCTGTATTATGCATTAAAGCTTCAAAAGAACTATGGTTAATAGTTTCAAAAGTTGTAACCATTAAAGTTTGGAATAAACTTTTTTAATCTGGTCTATACACATTATTAGTCCTGTAATAAAGTATTTTATGTACTGTCCTCGAGCTTTATTATGCATATGTTTAGATTCTTAGTAAAATGCTACCAAAAGCTACTAGTTTATAGGGGATGTAAAACTACTTACGGCGCAAGATATTCACAAAAAGATGATACTGCAGCTACAACTTCTGCATAATTCTCGGAGGTTGCAGGGGCCGTCACTTCAACTAGCTGTATGCCCGGGGTTACCGGCACAGCCTCGTCTGTTGCATGTAGTTTCAGCATCTTATTGATTGATGACACAGAAACCTTGATCTGAGCACCCCTTTGGAAATGGAAGGTGAATCCCACTCTCAAAAGCTCATGGTCCAACTTGTAGCCAAGTGCATAAAATAAGCGGAGAACATTCTTGCTCACTTTGCTCTCAACCATGGTCCTTACCAGAACTGATATTTGCTCTGCACCAGCACCACGCATTGCGCCTCCAACATGTTTGACAGTCCTAAATATAACGAAATTTCCTTTAGCAGACAAATTATAAACGCCTGTAACACTTTAGTTTCAAGTCATACCATGTGGGTTCAGGCTGTTCAAGATCACACAAAAGCCTAACCTCCGAAGAAACAATTCCTGGAGAACAAAAAGTATGGGAATAAATGTTAGATGATAAAGCCTTATTGGTAGAAGGATCACAATACATCAGAATGTTTTGTATGTCAATGGAGAAAAAAGCGTGTGATTCCAAAAATTGCATGTTCTGATATACCAATTGGTGAAATTAGCTACGTGGATTTCATATTACATTCATTCTCAAAACAAATTATCACAACATGGTAATGGAAAAACATATGGAAAGTAGCCGATCCTTCTGTCCGGCAGTTGAGCCCTTAATTTCCCAATATGAGAGACTAAAATATCCCATAGTAAGATGGACCTTCAACGAAATCAATGAACATTATCAATGCAAACTGCAAGCACGATGAGTTGATTTGTGCAAGGAGTAAATGTAATGTCGTATGTTCTTTCATTATTATCAATCCATTGATACACTGATCAGTCAAGTTTTTTCTTTTAGTAATAAAAGGGGATACCACATTAGCATATACCAGTTGAACAAAATAATTTCTTCTACACACCCTTCTAGATTGTACCAAGTACTGTGAACATGAAACAGGAATTCAATTTACGATTTTGTACTTACCAAGGTTGGGCCCGCTTTTTAGGCAGATTTCATGCACCCTCAAGCGTTCTCTGTGAACCCCACAAAGGCCTTGAAGAAGAATCTCTAGGGCCTCAACATGCTGCAAAGAGTAAATTATGTAACTGCATACTGAAAAAACTCTCCTTCCATCCCATCTTTACAAAAACAAAATGAAAGGTCAAAAAATAAATTATCATTTTCATATTTAAAAAAGAAAGAAAAATAATGTGTTTTCTTCTTGCAAGTTTTGCTCAATCATCTATACAGCAAATGAAGCATATTAAGCAAAAAATAGCAATCTTTTTCTATCTGTATATTACTCCATAGAAGAGCACATAAAGGAAAACAAAAACTTTCACTTAATTGACCTGCGTCTCTATAATTCCTTGAACCACACACTCCATTGAAGCCCTCCTTTAGATCACCCCCCAAATTCTTCCAATTCTTGTAGCTTTACAAATATTTTTGATGTACCTTTAGAAATATCTGATATAATAGACACAAACACAAATTACAAAATACCATACTTCTATTTCAAAAAAAAGACAGAAAAATAAAAATTACAATATCCTATTTTAGCAAAAGAACATGCAACTCATCATGGGATTTCTTAAGATAACAAGGATTAAGATGATAAGGATCCTTTCGCTATGTAAAATACTTTCTAGTCTTCATTTTCTAAATTAATGTGTTTATGCATTTTTTTAATCATAGAAGTATGTGAGAGCATAAAATGATCAAAATACAAATGAAATATTTATAAAAATTAAAAATAAAATTTTAAAATTTTCTAACTTCATCGTTATTTTCACTATATTTCTGTTAACTGCCTTGTACATTTGTAAATAAAATATATGTAAATTTTCAAAAATAAAAACTAAGAAAAACATGTGCCTGAATTTTTTGTCAGGCATAACCACAACTCCAATTCTCAAAGCGCAGAAATCGAATCCCAACAATGGCAACGGCCTATGTCATTTAATTTACCAATATGAACCCATTTGGCACAACTGCATTGAAATATAGATATAGAATATACAGCCCAGTGAAGACTCAATAATGCCTATTACACCGTGAAGTGGAGCAAAACTCCGCAAAAATGAGAATTTGCAATAAATGCAAAAAATGGTTGCCACTAATCTGTCTAAGATGGAATTAGATGCCAAAACATGCATTGGTATAATAAAGAGAAAGTAAGTCTGGAAAAGGAAACTAGATGGGAAGGTGCCAAAACATGCATTGGTATAATAAAGAGATACTAAGTCAGGAAAAAGAAACTAGATGGGAAGGGATTAAGCACCCATCTAGTGGCATAGGCTTTTAGAAAAGATAGCTAAGAATAACCAAATATATGAAAATAGAGCTAGAAGTCAAAATGAACAAAGGAAAAACCCGACGACAGCTCTTAACCTAAAAACTCTCATAACATCCTGTATGCAAAACCAAAGAGCTTCTTGGAAAACATGTCATACATTAGAAACCGTACACCACAAATAGTTTAAGCTTTTATGAGTCCAAAAATTCTCACCAATCAATCATATTCTAAATAACCCCAAAACAATCTCTCTTTTTCCTATTGAACAACACCATTTTCCCAGTTTAAACAACAGAAACTACTATTCCATAGATTGAAACAGCAGGTGTAGACAGTCTTTATCCTTTAATTTATTCTACTTCCAAACATCAAATGCTAGGTCCGTTTTCTAATTCAAACTACACCATACAGCATCTACATGCACAAACTAAAAAGTAAAAATAGTTCATGGTTTCCACTGTCTCATCCCTAAAACATGTATCAATCCATTAAGCAACATTGCAGTAGACCTTACATGTGGACAATAAAACAAGAAATGCAGAAGCCAAAAAGCAGTTCCTATTTTCCTCATCTACTCCATTCTCAAATAGTAGGCAAAGCATACCCATTATATAGTTTAAAGATATCGAGCAAAACTTTGAATGGACAAGCCAAGCATGCAAAATCAGTCATGTTTTAAACCCTTAATCAGCAGCTAAGTGACCGCAAGCTACATATAAAAAAGGGAAGGGCAGACTCACTCAAAACAGCCCTTGACTTTGAGGTTGAAGCATTAAGGAAAGAAAAACATCCTAAAAACACGAGTTCAAAACAGTGAAGTTGGAAGTATGAGAACAGAACCGAAAAAATGTGCTATATTAAGTTTGAGATATTTTGACACCAAGAATGCATAAAAGGGATGGCAGATTTGACTCAGGTAGTCAAAGTGTAAGAATAAATCTTAAAAACCAGGTCAGAGACATTTATGCTCGAAGAAGGGAAAAGTTTGGGCTCTTGAAACTTAAAACGCACTATAGAGAGGCATAAATAAATCTAGAGAATGATCTAGAAAGGTTAACATCTGAACACAGGTTTGAAATACCTTTTGAAGAAGTAAAACCAGATTTTGAGGAGAAACAAAATAAAATAAAGTCCGAAATCAAATCCAAAGTTTCAAAATATTTAGGGCGTGGATGAGCAGATTTAAAAATTGAAAAAAAGAACTAAATAATGCTAAAAGAGAATAGGGATCATTTTGAAGAGGTTAGAGAAATCATTCAACCATTTCTTAAGACAAAACGAAGGACAACCTGAAACATTGAAGAAGGGTCCCCATCACAGCCATCATTGAGCTTTATTTCTTAGCAAGACACATTGCACCCTAGGATAAGTCAAGAGACTGAAATATTATGATCAGTAAAGGAAACTGAACCAATTACAGTCATACTTCGGCCATACATTGAATTTAAAGGGATTTCACAATTCAAATAATTTAGAAGAAACTATTTGTCATTATACCGAACATATATCTTCCGTAAGAGTAAGAGGAGCCAAGGAGATTATTCCATGGCATCCTCGGATCCCTTTTTAGATTTCTAACAAAAGTAAATGATCCTATGCCAGGTTACTGACGCAAATCTCCTAGACCCACTGCTATCACCAAACAAGCATACATTTAGCAAAAACACATGACAACCCCGTGTCTCTCACATTACTACCATTATTCAAAGTCAATCACTCAATCAACTATATATCCTATTTGTAAAAGAGCTTTGACCTAATTGAATACACCCTATGATCTAACATACGGAACCATAAACATCACTCATTTAAAATGTGTTCTTCACATTTCAAGTGTTTCAATTTCACATGAAAAATCGTATTAAAGTACATTCATACTTCATTTCTAATGTACCACACACCTTCCAAGCTTCATACATAGAAAGCTTTCAAACCTCAATTACAAATGATTGCAGAATTTTAGGAACATACCTGACTAGAACCCCAAATTGAATAAGCTCGGTCACCCTTTCTTGCTTTTTTCTAGTCCAGTCCCTTGCTACTCTATTTCTCTTTCTTTCTCGGTTAGGCCTCCCCTTTCTCTCACAGTCTCCAGCCGTCTCTCTACACTCTGATTTTTTTTTTTAAAAAAAAATCATTTTCAGAACCCTCCTCTTTTGTTCGTTTTCAGGGCCCAAACGCGAAGAAGAAGCTGCCGAAACAGCGCCATTAAGTGACTAGAAGGCTTTCAAACGGCGCCATTCGGCCTTGGAAAAGGGCCTTTTGTTTGGGGTCAGATTTTGGTTCCTCTGGTTTAGATTAAGAATGGATAAATTTTAGTTCAATGGACTTGGGCATTGAGCTATGTAAAATTATTATTATGCTGAATAAAATTAGGATATGCCATTGTCCGAAAAGAATACATAACTCAAACAAATTCTATACTGAATCTTTCGATCCTTTTTTGGTGTAGACAATGAAGGGCGGTAATACTTAAATACAGACTTCAACAGTTAATTTCGTATAACATACTATTAAAGTGATTTATGTAAGGGATGAGTCCCTCTGTTTGGTACAAGGGAAAACAAAAAGGGATTGGAGAAGAAGAATATTGTAAGGTCGTGCATGGACAAGAATATGACACCACGATTTGCTTCCTAGAGCTGGTGACTGCTGCTTTATATTTTCATTCAACTCAATTACGCAATGCTAGAACACCATATTGTCCCAGTTCATAATATAATTCTAATGTATATATAATTTAAAAAATAATAATTTTTATATAAGTCACCGGCAAATAAGCTACCTTCAAGGTCATGCAACGGCATAAATACCAACCATTTCAATAAACCAAAATTAATGACACTCCGACAGTCTGAAAACTTCTCGCATTAGAAGTTTAACTGGCTCAGGAAAGGTGGGAGCCATGGAACAAATTTCCTGACCTGGTTAAAAACCACTCCTCAGTCAAATAACACAACTTAAACTAAATAGTTTTAACAGCAAATCTGGGATGAACAAGCCGGATTTATCAAAACAAGAAAGTTGGTTCCTCTCGACCACCAAAGACCTTCACGGTTCATTACAGAAATTCCTAACGCCTGTAATCCCGGATCAGATGTCCCGCGCTCATAATGGTAATCATCCTCCCCTTCCATTCTATTCATAGCGATCCTGATCATGATCATGATCATGATCAGATACTGATCATAGCGATCCTGGCCACCTTGTCATCCACATTATCATATGTCCTCGACCGCGATGCTCATAATGTCATAACG